GTGGTCTTATATGGAAAGAAAGTATATTAAAACTCAATATATTATGGCAATTATGCACAAAACTAGAACATTTCTGAGAATGTCAACGTTCGGCAACACCCAGCATCCTTGCTGCAGATGATCAAAGACTACAGCCTTTAATACAGATTACATCTCAACATCAAGAAGGCAAAAATCCTCACCATTAGATCAATGGGCAACATCACAGATAGATAGAGAAAATACTGAAGTTGTCAATGATTTGATGTTACTTGGATTCTCAATCAGTACCCATGGTAACAACATTCAAGAAATCAAAAGATGTGCTACACTTGGGAATCTTCTGTCAAGAGTGTCTCCAAAGTTCTAAATCACAAGGAAGCCAGTTTAACGACCAGTGTACCTGATCCAAGTCATGTCTTTTCAATTACTTCCTATGTGTCTGAAAGTTGGACAATGAATAAGGTTGACAGAAGAATTGATACTTTTGCATCACTGTGTTAGAGAAAGAGTGCTGAAAAAATATTTCAAGGACTGTCCAAAGAACAAACAGGTATGTCTTGGAGGGAGGATAACCAGAGTGCTCCTCAGATCAAAGGATGGTAAAATTTCACCTCACATGCTTTGGATATGTTGTCAGCAGAGACCACATCATGCTGGGAAAGGAGGACCATCAGAGAAAGAATGGGAGATCTTTAACAAGACGGATTGAGACAGGGCCTGCAACTCTAGATTCGAGCCTATCAGAAATGATGAGGATGGTGAGTGTAGGGCAAGGTTCCGATCTGCTGTTCACAGTGTTGTTCTGAATTCTAGTTCACTTGGCAGTACCAAACAACAGCATTCTGTAGTTTTAACTAATAAAACAAAACAAAAGGATTAGCCCATACATATATGAAGTCTAAATTAACAATATAGACATATTTCCTGGCAAATCCGCAAGTGGTTATGGCCTAAGCAGGATGATTTATTAATTATATTTAATTACAGGAAAAAGTTAGATCAACTAAGAACACAGTAGGTGGAGAAAGGACATCAACTGAAGGCAACATGCAGAGTAGAAAGAGTGTGTGCAATTTTGCACAGGGAAAGGGGACGTGAAGGGTCTGTGCAATATGGATTCCAGAGGGTGGGATGTTTCTCTTTTGTGGGGAACAACAGCCTAGAAAAGCTAACTCTCAAGTCACCTACATTTCATTTCACTTCAATCTCATGCTCAGCAAATTACCTTCAGATGACCAGTTTTACATATTCTTCAGAGAGTAGTAGAAAGATGATTGGGAAACAGTTCTCAATCATGCCAGTCATCAGAAAACAACATTCCTCTACCTACTACAAATTACTAAGCTAACCATTGGGTTACAAACCAATCATCCTAGGTTCCCTAAGGTTTTGGGACTCCCAGTGTGAAGCATAGTTGACCTTAAAAAAAGTAATGCTATCTGGTGAGACTTCTTATTCAGTCTGTGGGTCACCGCTAAGATGCCCCAAACTCACCTTACATTCAACAGCAAACCTAGCAGCTACCCAAACACACCTTCAACAAAGACATTCCTAAAATTTTACGTATTATGTAAGATATTAATAAAACTAATGTGCTGCCCTTATATAAAGTAGAAAGATTCTTTAGTTCTTTATATTCTCTAACAGCGAGCTCTGGTGGTCTAGTGGTAAGGAGCTGTGCTGCAATCCTAAAGGCATGTGGCTTGAGGTCACCAGCTTCTCTGTGGGAGAAGGATGCGCCACCTCCTCCCATGTGATTAACTGCCTCTGAAAACCCACTGGAAGGTCTGCTATGGGTCGGTTCCAACTCTATGGTAAACAACAACATTTTCTTTAATGGAGCTCTGGTGGCCTAGTGGTAAAAAACTGTGCTGCAATCTCAAAGGCATGAGGTTTGAATGCACCAGCTGTTCCATAGAAAGATGGGCAATCTCCTCCTGTGCACTCAACTGCCTCTGAAAACTGGCTGGAGGGTCAGTTATGGGTTGATTCCAATTTGACAGTACACAACTAATACCAATAGTTCTTGGAGTGGAAAGGCTATAGTTATAAATATTTCCCAAGAGGCACCTTTACACAGACTGCCTACATTCCACAGATCCAAAGCAAGGAAAAACAATTACATACTATAGTTTATTCAAAGCCGTGAGGTTAGCAGATGGAACATGGGGATGGCAGTAGCTATATCTGATTTCTGCTCACTTCATAAAGGAGCATCAACAATATCCATAGCAGCAAACAGCTGCTAAGTCAGACACACCACTCCCCATGTTCTTGTACCTATTTCCACCAATTACTGGGTCCAAGTTCATTGTTGACACACAGACTTTATTCATAGTTGTGGTATCAAGAGTGAGGTTTATTAGGAAAGTAAGCTGGAAAGTAGGGGGAGTAAAAATATCACCCAAAATAAGTCTAGATTTTAGTCCAGCAATCCCAAGGCACAATTCTTCAATTAGTCCAGGCTCTGGTTTCAGTTCAGCAGTCAGCTTTTCCTTCCTTCTATCATTCAGCAAGAAGAGCAAAACCATTAACTGTGACCTTTATCTCAGGGGTCCTCTGATTATACCTTGCCACAGCTTCTCCACAGCAATGCCAAAGCCTGTTGATCATTAAAACCAGGATCTCACCCAGGTCTCTCTCTGACCAGGGTTTCACTCTGGTATCACGCTCATCAGGGTCTTACTCCAGTCTCCCTCAGTCTTGCTTACTGCAAATCTAGCTCCTCAGTGTTAGAAATTCATTCACTCATATTCTCTCTCTCTCTGTCCCACAGCTATTGATGATTTTCAAGCTCATGTGTCTGCACTTAAGGTAGTTAGAGACCAGATGGGGCTAAAGTAATAGCTAAGAAAGCTTTAAGTTAACATCACAAAAGCCAACTCTTTTTCTATATGTTTTCACTCTAAATTTTAACTACTTACCTGGTAACTCACGAACAGAAAAGAATTTTTTTCTTTTCAAAGAAAAAATAGTAATGCTCATTGATCTTGGTGCGTTTGTGCATGTTTTTGTGTGAACTGCTCACTGACTAAATGCCTTCCATAGAAATTCAGTTCACTCAATCAGGGGTCTTGCAAACCCTTTCAAGATAGCACTTTCATATTCAGAACTACATTTGTTTTTAGCATTATTAGCAAATAAGTATCTGCTGATTGTTGTTGTTATGTACTGTTGAGTAACTTGGACAGTTAAAAATTTCTAAGAACATTCCTTTTAATTCAATGCAGTCTTCCTTTCCAATGTCTTCTGTGGCATTATGAATGGCAGAAGAGAATGACCACATCACATTCTCATTTTTTTTTGTTTTGTTTAATCAGTTTTCTTTAAATAGACATGAGGCATCAGTAGATATTTAAGTCTTTCCAAGCTGGTGATTAATGTGCTGCTGAAAGAGACCAAGAATTTTATTTCTGTTCTTGTCCCTAATCCAAGATTCTATTCTTAGTCACAGACCAAGGATACTCTATCCAGGAATGCCCTGTGAAATAAGACTGCATTGCTTAAAGTGAGAGATAAAAGATCTTGAGTATGGTGATTATCCCTGTTGTCAGCTCTGTCTGGCTGAAACATCTGAGTCATTCCTAGTATCATGTAGATTGTCTGATCAACTCTGTGTAGATCTTAGCTTTGACCAGATACATTCCTAGGAAGTACTACAGTTATGCTTCTTAATGATTGCTGTTATGTGCCATGGGGTTGGAACTGACTCACAGCTGACCCTCTAGTGAGTTTTCAGAGGCTGTAAATTGCACAAGAGGAGACTGTTCACCTTTCCTGAGTAATACTGATTATCCTTTTAAAATATAGCCCAGATCCTTTCTACTTTCTATGCAAATACCTGATTGAGTAAGACCCTCAAATTAACATCCTAGAGTAGTGATTGATCCTCTTTTTCTGACATTAAAAATTCTTAGGATTTTTCTGAAAAGAAACCACTTTATAAATGTGGACTTTATAAAAGTCCAAAATGACTTAAGAGTTCTGTGCACATCACATCCTTGTTTCTCAAAATGAGATCAAAAATCAAGACTGGCAGTACTAAAATATTATGAACCTGAGTGGCAGACAGATTGTCCCATTTCTTGTTTAATCAAAGAATAATAGGGTAATCAAGTTATTCATTTTCCTGTTGTTGTTATGTGCCGTTGAGTCGTTTCTGACTCATAGCGACCCTATGCACAACAGCCCTAAACCCTGCTCTATCCTGCACCAACCGCACCGCCTCTGACACACCCATCCCAATTACCCCAGTCCCTGAATCAATCCATCTCATAGAGGGTCTTCCCCTCCTGCGCTGTCCCTCCACCCTCCCAAGCATGATGTCCCTCTCCAAGGACCCGTCCCTCCTGGCAACATGTCCAAAGTATGTCAGATGAAGCCCCAGAATCCTTGCCTCCAAGGAGTAGCTTGGTTTAATCCTCTCCAAGATGAATCTGTTTGTTTTCCTGGTAGTCCATGGTACATTCAGTACCCTTCTCCAGTACCACAGCTCAAAAGCATCCACTCTTCTTCTGTCCTCCCTAGTCATTGTCCAACTCTCTGATGCATAACAAGCGATTGCAAATAATAACAACTTTAATGATTAAAGCTAAAGTGTATTCAGTTTTCACAGGTGTCATGTTCTTTACAAGAATCATCTCACTTTACATCCCAGTAGCCTTAGATTTTCTTAGCTTTTACAGATGAGGAAACTACGTAATCTTACTAGTTAGTGCCATTCAATTTGGTTTCAAAAGTGAAGGGAGACATGCGCCCAACTCCATATGCCTTTCGTCTTTGAGTTTTACATTCAAGCTAAAGAAAGTTAATAAATAAAATGAAAGGAAAATATCACTGAAATTTTGCTTGAACTTATTCAGTGAACTTCAATGTTACTTGTATAAAACAGCAAGAAGTGAATTATTCAAATCTTGATATTTCCCCCTGTATCATTTCTTCCAACTTCACAATAATACTCGTGGTAACAAAACTACAACGAAAAAATGTGAAAGACATATATTCAGCAAAGCACTTACATAGCGAATGGGCGAGAGGGATTTCACTTCAGATGCTGGACAGCCACAGGAAGTAAGGTCAGCATAGAGACCTTCCTCTAACACGCACTGGTTATCTGATATGTCCCCTTGATAATACAGGAGCCAGCTAAAAATGCAAACAGTAAGATATTAGGAACAACTTGGCAGTACAGACTCAGTACCAAGGTAAAAATCAAGAAATAGGCCAGAAGCAGTACTTAGTAAAATTAAAAGCAAAAACTATAATTTACTGTGTATCTACTATGGGATAAGGAGATTAGGTAGGTACTTCAAATAAGTTCTTTTTCTAAACTCTCAATAATTCTATGAAATAGAAAAATTCAGCCAATTTTTTAGCCACTATAATCAAAGCTTACAACTCACTACCACTCACTACTTTTAAATCTGCATATGCTCAAATCATTTGAAAAATTGAACTACAAGAAGTATATGACATCAGGATTAGAGGAATATTCATCAACGATCTACGACATGCAGATGACACAACTTTGCTTGCAGAAGGTGAAGATTTGAAGCAATTACTGCAGAAGATCAAAAACTTTAGACTTCAATATGGGATACATCTCAACATCAAGAAAACAAAAATCCTAACCACTATGCCAACAGGCAACATCAGGACAAATGGAGAAAAGACTGAAGTTATCAATGATTTAATTTTATTTGGATCCATAATTAATAACCACAGTAACAGCAGTCAAGAAATCAAAAGACGTGCTACTCTAGAAAAATCTGCTCACCAAAAATCACCTCACCAAAGTTCTAAAAAGTAAAGATGTCAGTTTAAAGCTTAAAGAGTACCTGATCCAAAACATAGCAATATATTTTTTTCTTCCTGTGATTTTAACAAAAGTTTACAGAAAAGTTGGATTTTCCTTCATTCACTCACTGTTGCATTCTCCTCCCTACCTCCCAGTTAACTTTTAAAAAAAGAAAAAAACAACAAAACTACATTCATTCACTGATCCATAATTTCTTCCTCCCGACACCTTCTCCAGTCCATTTTGCTATTCATTTCTTATTTTGGACTGTTGTCATAAAAATAATGTCTCATCATATATATTCCTTTTAAAGTTTTTTTCTAGAGTGCATGGTGGCCTAGTGGCAAAGAAGCTGTGCTTCAATCCTGATGGCACACAGTTTGAATTCACCAGCCACTCCACAGGAGAAAGATGGTTTCTCCTGCTATGCAATTAATTGCCTCTGAAAACCTGCTGGAGGGTCAGCTATGGGTTGGGACAAGAGCTCTATTACTAAACAATTCTTTCCTTCATCTGATCCAATGCAGTATTCATTACTTAGCTCCTATTTTCTTAGTTTCCCTACAACACCCATATAAGTCTTGTTTTATAAAAGTGGTGTCATGTAGTATTTGTCCTCTTGTGACTGAGATATTTCACTCAACATAATGTCCTTCAGGGACACTGTTGTGTAAGTTTAAGAGTTCCTTTGTGTGAATATACCATAGTTTTTCTATTCATTTATTTGTTGATGGGCACTTGGATTGTTTCCATTTCTTTGTTATTGTGAGTAAAATAGCAATAAACATGAGTGTGCATATCTGTTTGGGTGGCAGCTCTGGTTTCTTTAGGATCTATTTCTAGTAGTGGAACTGCTGGGTCAAATGGTTATTTCTATTTCCAACTTTTTGAGAAAGTGCCATACTGCCTTCCATAGTGGTAGCCCCATTTTACACTGCCACCAACAGTGAGTAAGGGTTCCAATTTCTCCACATCGCCAACATTTGTTGTTTGCTGCTCTGCTGAACTTTACTATTGATTCTGGGGTGAGATTATATGTCAGAGTTGTTTTTATCCACATTTCTCTGAAAGCTAGGAATTTTGAACACTACTTCCTGTGGTTGCAATCTAAATGTCTTTTTTGGAGAAAGGTTTATTCATATGCTGTGCCCATTTTGCAATTGGGTTATACATATTTTTACTGTTGAGGTGCTGGAGTTTTCTATAAATTTTAGATAAGAGTCCCTTATCAGATATGTCATTACCAAATATGTTTACCCAGTCTGTATCTTTCCTTTGTACCCTGTTGGAGAGTTTTTGATGTGCATAGGGATTTGATTCTTATTCTTTCCTGGTTGTAGGTTTGTCAAGATGGTTCAAACACTGTTCATATTGTAAATTAGGGCTTCTAGAGTTCTTCCAAGCATTTCCCTGATGAAGCATACAGACACTGGTTTTACTTCTAAGTCCTTAATGCACTTGCAGTTGTGTCCTGTGTATGATGTGAGATGTGAGACTCACTTGAGTTTTTTACAGATAGTGTTCCAATTTTGCCAACATGAATTGTTTTTTTAAATAAAATTTTTTATTTTAATTGTCATTTTAACAAGTTTACAGACAAGTTAGATTTTCATTCATTCGTTGTTGCACATTTTACCCCCTCTCCCTTCCTTCTCCCTCCACAGGCTGGCTTTTTTTTTTCCACTAGTTTATTTACAAAATTTAAATACAAATTTGAACAAATTATTTCAATTCCCCTCACACTCCCCCCATCAAATTGTACAACCCAATGATTAATCTCCCCTTCCTCTGTATATCCACATCTCTCTGCTTCCAGCCTCTCCAACCCCTCCTGTATCCTTATACCCATTCTACAATAACAGTGTTATACAATATTTATCCTTGTGGGACTGAGTTAGTTCACGCAGCATAATGTTCTCCAGTCCCTCCCAAGTTAGGTAATAATTTACAAAGTTATTGCTCCTGCGTACTGCATAGTATTCCACTGCGTGAATGTACCATAATTTCTTGATCCATTCATTTGTGGTTGGACATATGGGCTGTTTCCATGTTCTTGTGATGGTAAATAATGCTGCTATGAACACTGGTGTACAAATCTCCATTTGTGCCTCAGTTTTCATATTCTCAGGGTATATTCCAAGCAGTGGAATAGCTGAGTCATATGGAATTTCTATGTTCAGCTTTTTGAGGAAGGGCCAAACTGCCTTCCAGAATGGTTGTACCATTTTACAATCCCACTAATAATATATGAGTTCCTTTCGTACCACATCCTCTCCAACATCTATTACTTGCTGCCCTGTTAAACTTTGCTACTCTTACTGGAGTGAGATGGTACCTCATTGTGGTTCTGATTTGCACCTCTCTTATTACCAATGATTTGGAGCATTTCTTCATGTTATCTGTTTGCCATTCGAATATCTTCCTCCTTGAAAATTCTTTCCATGTCTTTTGCCCATTTTGTAATTGGGTTATCAGTCTTTTTTTTATAGAGGCCCAGGAGTATTCTGTAAACTTTTGTTACAAGATTCTTGTCTGAGATGGTATTACCAAATGTGGTTCCCAGTCTGTAGGTCTTCTTTTCACCCTGTTGGAAAAAGTTTTTGATGTGCCCAGAGATACCAATACCAATTGTTAAAGAGGCTTTCATTTCCCCACTTAATTGAATTTGTCTCCTTGTCAAAAATCAGTTGACTATAGATGGATGAGCTGATTTCTGGGTTCTCAATTCTATTTCATTGATCTATGTGTCTGTCACTGTACCAGTACCACACTGTCTTGACCATCATGGCTGTTAGGATTTGAGATAAGGGAGTAAGATGCACCCTACCTTGTTTTTCTTTTTCACGAGTACTTTACTGTTTTAGAATCTCTTTCCAGTGCAGATTAAATTGGAAATTGCCTTTTCCATCTTGTTAAAGAATGGAATTGGTATCTGAATTAGGATTGCATGGAACTTGCAGATTGCCTTCGGTAGAATTGTCATTTTCACGCTATTTGAGTCTTCCTATCCATAAGCATAGTATATTCTTCCATTTCTCCAGGTCTCTTTTTGTTTCTTGTGGTAATGTTTTATACTTTTCTTTGAATAAGTCTTTTGTGTTTCTAGTTAGATTTACTCCCAAGTATTTAACCGTGTGGTTAGCTTTTGTGATTGGTATTGTTTTTCTTAGCTCTATTTCTGTATTCACTTTGTTACTGTAGAGAAATCTAATTGTTTTGTGTATGCTGATCTTGTATCCTGCCACTTTGCTGAATTGGTCAACTAAGATCAGTAGTTTTGCTACTGACTCTTTAAGGTTTTTTAAGTATACTATCTCACCATCTGCACAGGGAAATAATTTTACCTCCTCTGTGCCAATTTGGATACCTCTTATTTCCTTCTCTTTCCTTTTGCTAAGACTTCTAATAAAATACTCACAAGGAGAGGTGATAATGAGCATCCTTGTGTAGTTTCTGTTCTTAAAAGGAATGCCTTCAATATCCATTAAGAATTATGTTGATTCTTGGTTTTGCATATATATTTTTTCATTATGCTGAGGAAATTCCCCCATTCCTATTTTGTTGAATGTTCGAATGTTGACTTTTAAAAGGCCTTTTTTGCATCAATTGATAGGATTGTGTGGTTCTTGTTCTTTGCCTTATTAGTGTTATGAATTACACTGATTATTTGTCTTATGCTGAACCATCCTTGCATACCTATTATGCCCACTTGGTAACTGTCAATTATTTTTTTGATGTAATTTTTAATTCTACGGGCCAGGATTTTATTGAGGATTTTTACATCTATGTCCATGAGAGATACTAGCCTATAGTTTTCTGTTTCAGTAGTGTCTTTACCTGACTTTGGTATCAAAGATATGTTTGCTTCATAGAATAAGTTTGGAAGAATTACATCTTTTTCTATTTTCTGAACTACTTTATGTAGTATCGATGTGTGGTTTTAAGAAATACTAACTCTGCTGTGTTGTTGTTTGCCATAAAGTCAGAACCAACCCATGGCTGACCTTCCAGTGGGTTTTCAGATGCAGATAATCACACAGGAGGAGATAACCCATCTTCCTCCTCTCATGGAGCAGCTGGTAGTGGATTTTTAACTCTAAATCTGGGAATTTAGATTTACATGTGAAATGGTGGATGATAATATTTTAAAACAAAGGTTTTCTAAAAAAATGTATAAGTGATATGTGTGAATAAAAATACGTCATATTTTATAACATTCTTCGATGGTATCTAATAAGTTTAAGTGATCAAAATATGTAGATGATATAACCTAAGTTATCAGCTTCAGTTTGCTCGGCTCCACAGTCAACACTCTTGGCACCAGCAGTCAGGAAATCAAAAAGCATATCGCGATGGGAAAGTCTGCTGTTAAGGACCTCTCTAAGGTACTCAGGAGCAACAGTGTCTCTCTGGAGACTAAGGTGCACCTGATACAGGCCATGGTATTTGCAATCGCTTGTTATGCATCAGAGAGTTGGACAATGACTAGGGAGGACAGAAGGAGAGTGGATGCTGTTGAGCTGTGGTGCTGGAGAAGGGTACTGAATGTACCATGGACTGCCAGGAAAACAAACAGATTCATCTTGGAGAGGATTAAACCAAGCTACTCCTTGGAGGCAAGGATTCTGGGGCTTCGTCTGACATACTTTGGACATGTTGCCAGGAGGGACGGGTCCTTGGAGAGGGACATCATGCTTGGGAGGGTGGAGGGACAGCGCAGGAGGAGAAGACCCTCTATGAGATGGATTGATTCGGTGACTGGGGTAATCGGGATGGGTGTGTCAGAGGCGGTGCGGTTGGCGCAGGACAGAGCAGGGTTTAGGGCTGTTGTACACAGGGTCGCTATGAGTCGGAAACGACTCGACGGCACATAACAACAACACAACAACAACAACATAACCTAAGAGGAAAGTGAGAATAAAAGGATCAGAATGCTCCCAATATTAAATTAATTAGCATTCTTGTTTTCTGTATTACCTAACTTTGGTAAAGTTCTATAGGCCAGTTGAGGAACAGTGAAGAAAAAAAATAAACATTTTTATTTTTTCTTAATATGAGAAAGCTCCAGAGTCTGGAAGAAAACAGGAGTGGACCCTCCAAACATGGGGAATCACTTCCCTGAATTTCTTTCGCTGCACTAACAATGACCGGGGCATAGACTTTGGAATGCAGGGGAAGGAAAATATTTAAAAACTCATTGTATATGCTAAAACAAAACAGCAGGAAATAGTCATGCACACTTACCAACCCCGAAGAACTTTGAAAGAGCCTGGCATGAACGAAGTCAAACTGGAAACTTCTGTTGTAAAGTCTACACATTCACCTTGGAAACTAGGTTTACTGAATGCTTTGAGCTACAAAAACAATATAATGATAATTAAATAAACCAGTGTTTGGCTTTATTACCAAAGCATATACAAATCACTAGTTTTAAGTATTTTTTTAGACTCTGTAAAATATCAGACTTCAGTTTTATCTAATATCAAATAATTCATGTTAAGAATAATGACTCTGTCTTCAAACACATTGCCACTTGTTTCCAGAAACATCACTCACTACTTATTATTTTCATCCAACTCTTAACACTAAATTCTGGATCCCACACCATAGCTATCAAGTGGATTCTGACTCAGAGACCTTACATGGTAGGGCAGAAGTCTCCCATAGACTATAAATAATTTCCAAGGTTATAAAAGGAAAGCAAGCTTTCATATCTTTTTCTATGGAATGGCTTAGGCTTTGAACCACTGACCCTCGGAGTTAGCAGTTAAGAGTTCTTCACCATTGTGCTGTCAGGGTTCCTCCATTCTAGGCACAGAAGCTTAGAAAAGAATTCTACTTGTAAGAGTACATCAAGATTCCTCTATTTCCAAAATATGGTCCTGGTCAAATGTACCCATAACTATTATCACCTATGGGGAGAACCTAGTAGCATAAACATTTTGGTTTCTAACAAGGTCTGTGGTTCAAAGCTATCCAGTATTTCAGCAGGAGAGAGATCTAGCAAGCTGCTCCTATAGAGATTACAACCTTTAAAACTCTTTGTGGCAGGTCTATTCTGACACACGATATCACTCAGTCAGAATCAACTTTATAGCAGCTTGGGAAGATACTGCAGGTTCTGTTCCACACTAGGGCATCAAGGAAATATTACATAAAAGCAATGAAACAAATTTTTCTGTTTAAAGTGCATATAAAACTAGTGGCAATAGCAACAGTGAGACCACATGTGTAAGAGGCAATTCAGCACTAAATACAAAGGAGGCATAAATTAGTATGAAGGTTGGCTGGTATGCCTTTTCTCTCCCCAAGTCTTCCTGATCCATAGTTAATGGGAGAGAAAAAGAAAAAGCATAAATGCATGCCTAGAAGTGTGCCTGTGAGAGCTTAGGAGCAGGTGGCAGAGAAGATAATAATGATAGGATTAGTGGATGATTTTTGGTGAAGACAGAGAGACAGCTGTGTCATGTATTTCAGCTTATAGGCTTCAGTATAATGATAAGAATACCTCAAATGTACAGCTTACAGTCACATCCAACTACATTTCTGCTTCAGTCCATTTTCCCCCAGGAAAATCCATGAAAGCTCAACAATAATTCCCTTCAGACCAGACACATAATCATCTGCAACTACAGTGGCCTTGGATTTATAATAGGTTAGGCAAAAATTAATGAGTCTTATAAATATTTCATACTACACTAAAGCTTTGCTGTAACCACTGTCCACACTGCACTGAGACTAAGAATGCAAATAATGATGTGCATCATCGCCTTTTGTCCAGCTCATTTTGTCATCAAAAGGAGATTTTTGAGAATGTGCTGTTTGCCTCCTGTCATCAAGCCAAGAGTCCTCTTACAGCTGATGGTATTTTGATTCTAAGGAATTATTTACTGTCTAATTCTACTCTGATTTTGCTTCATCTGATGATAGAGTTTGGTTGAAAACAAAAAGACAACAGCCACTGAGTCCTTTGATCTACAACAGGTTGTACAACTTCACTTTCTGTTGTGAAATATGCTTACTGTGGAGCATTAAAGAAATGAAATCTAATCCATCAAGTTACTCCTCTGCTGTTGGATAGAAATGAATGAAGAGTAATGAAATAAAAGACGAGATGTGGGACAATTCCCAAGGAGACCCCAGAGACACTGCAGGATCAGTTCTAGACCACCGCAATAAGGGATTATTGTACTAAAACAATCACGTGAATTGTTTTGTTTGATCATAGTGCACATAAAAGTTACGTATACACTATACCGTAGTATACTAAGTACACAATAGCGTGAGAGAACTTGAAATATTTTAAGAATTGCCGAGATATGATGCAGAGATATGAAGTGAGCACAGGATGTTGGAAAAATAGACTTCCTAAATGCAAGAGTGCCACAAAATGTCAATTTGTAACAAAAGCAAAAAACAAAAGAAAAACAAACAACCCAACAACCAAGCCATAAAACCAGCAAACCACAAAAATCAAAGTGTGAGAAAATGAAGGATGCCTGCAGAAGAGCAACCCTACACATCCAGGGAAACAAAGGCCCAATTCCTTAATAATGCTATACAAAATTTGGGTCAGGAACTTTTCAGACTCTATTTTTTACCTTAAAAATTATAATATAAAACAAAAAAAATATAAAACATACAACTAAATAGCAAATCACTTCTCTTCTCACAACCAGAGGCTTTTTCTGACTTGAAGTCTGAGACAGTATATGTTCTTTATTCTTGAAACAGAGAAAATAACTGCCCACTCTGAACACAGTACCTGAATTGTCAATCGATCATAGCCACCTATCAAATGAGTAGTTACTTCTGAAAGACATGACTATCAACAAATACACATTTAGATAAATACAAATCAGAAAAGAATTTCTGAAAATTTCGTCTACTGCAAACAAGAACTTTTAATACCAGGTAGACGACTAAGGAAGCTTTATTCGCATGTGTCACCAAATCTCTAGCGATCATACACTTGCTGGAAATATTTATTTCACAAGGCAATAGCTGAGCCATGGCCAGAAAAATGAAGTGGGGCCAATTCACTGGGCGTTTTCAGCTGCTTCCTCTCCCTTCAAGTTGGACTGGAAATACTACAAAGAAAATCCTTCCAGCAATTGGCCCCAAACAAGGAAGTCTATAGAGTCTTCCCTATTCTTTTTCATGAGGGGAGAAACAGCTTAAAATAATAATTTTTTTCTTCTTTTTTAAAAAATCTGTCCTTAAGACTCAGAAATAGATAGTTTAAGGGTATCTCGGTTTAATTCTTATTCTGCTCATTTTATTTGGAGTCATGTGAAAAAATACATTAAGTCTATGGAGGAAGTTCTGAAAAATTGAAGTAAATAACTGGCAGGAAATGTCTCAAAATACAACAACCTGATTATATTCAGAAAGGAAATGTTTCCAATAGGTCTGAACTAATCAGAAAATACTGAAGCATAAAAGCAGTAGAAAAGAAACATGGTTAAACTAAACTTGTGTGAAAGGTACAGATAGTGACATAAATATAAAAACATACACTGACAGAAAAAGAATTTAGAAATATATAAAACTATAAAATACCAAACATATAAAAATTACATTTGGCTTTTAACACACATATATTAGGATCTGTTCCTTAAAATGGGCCCAAGAGAGCAAAGCCATCATTTTTTTTTCATGGCCATACCATGAATGCCATATGTATCACAGTACATTTCTCTTTGATGCCAAAGACCCTGAAAATGAGGCTTTGTCAAGTGGAGTTAGATGCTAGAAAATGTCTCTCTTGCTACTTTTTTTGTTAAACTTAAATTCTGAACCTTATCATTAATCTTTGGATTGTACAATTTGTTGGGGGGGTGAGGGAAATTGAAAGAAATTGCTCAAATTTGCATTAGAATTTTGCAAATAAACTAGTAAACAAAAGACATGGAAAGAATTTTCATAGAGCAAGATATTCGAATGGTAAACAGACACATGAAGAAATGCTCCAAATCACTGGCAATAAAAGAGATGCAAATCAAATCCACAATGAGGTCCAATCCCACTCCAGTGACAATGGCAAAGTTTAATAGGGCAGTAAGTAATAAATGTTGGGGGGGATGTGGCAAGAAAGGAACCCTTATTCATTGTTGGTGGGATTGTAAGATGGTACAACCATTCTGGAAGGCAGTTTGGTGCTTCCTCAAAAAGCTGAACATTGAAATTCCATATGACCCAGCTATTCCACTATTTGGAATATACTCTGAGAGTATGAGAACTGAGGCACAAACTGAGATTTGTACACCAATTTTCATAGCAGCATTATTCACCATCGCAAGAAAATGGGAAGCAGCCCAAATGTCCAACCACAAATGAATGGATTGAGAAATTATGGTACATTCACACAATGGAATACTATGCAGCACACAGGAGCAATAACTTCGTAAATTATTACCTAACTTGGGAGGGCCTGGAGAGTATTATGCTGAGTGAACTAACTCAGTCCCACAAGGACAAATATTGTCTAAAACCATTATTTTAGAATGAGGATAAGAATCCAGGATGGGTGGGAGAGGGTGGAAGCAGAGGGAAGAGGATGTGCTGGGATGGGGGTGGCGAATTAATCATGGTGGTGTATAATTTGATAGGGGCAGGGTGAGGGAAATTAAAAGAATTTGTTCTTAAAAACAATGTATTTGAATTTTGCACATTAATAGAATATAAAATTTAAAAAATTAAAAAAACCTTAGTCCGCCTATCTGCTAATGGGTTTAGTAAAGACTTCATAGAGTTAGAAGAAGTATTAAGCGGGTCAAATATCGTGCAATAATGGGTAGTAAACAAGAATTGGGCCCATAGTAATGTCCAATCCATCAAACTATAAACACACCAACAAATTATATAGTTACTAGTACTTCTGAGAAATATTTTGTTTAGGTATTAGAAATATATTTACACACTAAGTTGCCAAGACAGCAATTTCTAAACATTTCTCAAGAATGAGCATAATCTGTTGCGCTGAATAAGAATGGAACATTGAAATAAGGGTGGTAAACAGGAAAGAGCAAGTTGCAAAAGATGAAAATTATCCTAAAGTCTTAAGAGTGTCAGATGCCAAAAGAGAAATCAAAAGGCCTTATGGCAAATCCAGGCTGATCAACCATTAACAAAGTCAGGCATTCTGCTCATAAGTAGCAAGTACAGTAAAAGCCACCCTAGTAGCCTATCTGAGGGAGAGAATAAAGGCATAAATGGCATTAATACACAACAACTACAAATTAATAATGTTTTTAAACATACCAAATGTGGAGGCTCATTTATTCCAAGCGGTTCCTGAAAGACATGTTAAAACATTTTTTAGCTATGGTCATAAAATCTTCATTGTCTTTGAAAATTATAAACTTATCCTTTGGGAGGGTGGGGGGAAAGCCTGACAAATGTACTGTTGTTGTTGTTGACTGCCATCAAGTCGAGCACTACTCCTAGCGACCCTATGAACAAAAAATCTGAACTCTGTTCTATAACTATCATTGTTTCTTAAGTTCACAGTTTCCAGAGGCATGTTGTTTAGGAAGGAGATGCCACTCCTGCTTCCAAAGACAAAAGTACTAGATATCTTGAAATGACTATGACCTTCAAATAACCTACAGGAATTTTAAAACAACTTTAGTATTTTCTACTAATTCATTCTGAGCACCACAGGTATAAGGAAAACATGTTTCAATGTCTAGGGACAAAGTACTAATTTCCCCACTATGGATACGGTCACTTCTACAGTTCTGCCTTGTTTGCGATTATTAAAATTTGTTGCAATTGTTCAAACTTAGTGGCTTTACACACACTGAGATCGTTCCTCTTTGTAGAAAGCCATTTCTGCCCCCATTTCCCTGGCTAGCAAAACTGTTTTCATCCCTTAAGCCATCCCTCAATGCATTTTCTTCTGGGACACTGTCCTTGACTCCTCTCTCCTGCCTTCCCAGCACCATCTACATACTTCGGAGTCTCAGTTATCATAATTAATCGTTCATACGTCTATCTCCCCTAAGAAACTGAAATCTGCCAAGGTAGCTGTGATATTAGTCTAAAAGTTGGGTTGTTGTTTGTGTTTTTTTTTAACCATTAGTTAGCTGTCTCTGGTCTCCAGCTACCTTAACTCCATACACATGGTCTTGCAAATCAGCATCAGCTGTGGGACTAGGATAACGTGCTTCCCATACTGAGAAGCAACCCTTGAGGCAAGTAAGGCAAGACCTGGTTAGGAGTGAGACTCTGGTGTTGCAGAGACTATGGCATTGCTGTGGAAAAATGGAGGCAAGATGTGGCCTGAGGCTTCTTGCATTCATGCTGGCCACAGGTGGATACTGATGCTGTTCTTGTCTTTGATGATGAAAGGAAAAGCTGCTTGCTGAATTAAAATAGGAGCCTGGACTAATTGAGGAGTTGTGTTTTGGAGCTTGGGCTACAACCTGGACTTATTTTGGGTGACACTGTGATATTCTTTGCCTCCCCACCCCCACCACTCCAACTTCCCTCCCTAATAAGCCCTATTGTTGGTACCATAACTGTGAGTCAGCAACAAATAAAAGACCCCCTTGCTGTTGGTATGGCCCACAGAGGCACCATGGGGCTGGGCTATGGGCTCTTTTTCTGCTTTTTGTTCTGGGGCGGTGAGTGGCTGTGCTAGTCTCATTCCCTCGGGCCCTTTCAGAGAGATGCTCATGGCCCTGTACGTCTAGGTCCTATTTTCCATTTTTTAGACAGTAGTCCTCTTCATTTTTTCTATCAGGTAATTGGTGCAGTGTTTGACATGTTAGAGGAACTAAGTAAATAGTGAATGAAATTAATTGATGAAAATATAGTCATCAATTAGCTAGTATTAAAATCCATTCCCTATGAAGCCTACAGAAATACCTCAGATGTTTTATTTTCTCTCTATATGCACATATGAACTAGTTCAACAATTGCACTAAAATGCTTACTCCACAGATTCAATTCTCTAACACAAGATACCACTGGCAAAGGTTATGTTTATATCACTTACCAGTCTGACAGGTCGTATTGACATGATTGTATTACTTGACCCTCCCCAGTCAAAAAAGCATTTGTATTTCCCCTTTTCTAAGATATATTGTTTTCCACAGAAGAATTTCTGCTGGTAGGCAACCCATCTAATAGAGGGAAGGAAAAAAAATTATATATTATTAAGAAACCACTAATTTTTAACATCAAATGATCTTTCGATGTCCTCAAGGTACAGGGACAACTTACACTCCACTTTTAACGTGAATGGATCTTGTTTCGCTGCCAAAGCCAATTTCTTCTAAATCAGAAACTTCCTGGTTTGTAATGTTGATAAACTTCCCACTTTCCAGGTCAGATTCAAACAGTGTGATAGAAGATTCTATAAAATTCTATAAAAGGGAAGAATAAAACTTAGGTAAACATATGCATTTTGCTTTATAGACTGTTATATCAGCACAATATTTTATTTATTTTTAGGAATCCAAATTGTAAAAGGTACCAAAAGAAGTTTATAGTTACTACTCCTAAAAGAATAGGATCTTGGCAATGAGTTGATTGGTTGATTAGTCCTAAATAGTCCTAAACACTGATTCTAGGTAAACATAAAGTCATACTGCTCCTGTTTAAAGAGTGAAAGTTACACATAAACTTTAGAGCTTGATCTTCTTAGGCACAGATAACTGTCAAAAGAACAGAAAAGAAGCCACAGAGGGACCTTTAACCTATAAAGAAAGCAATACATAATAAAGGTAGTATTAAAGATACATTTATTCAATGATTTGGAAACAACTTGATGACTAGTTGGGAAAAATCAATCAGATCTCCTTTTCTCACCATATACCAAAATCAATACTTTACCATTTAAGTTTGCATTAAGTAAATTATGAAACAAAGAGTTAATATGCAGTAAGCCATGTTGGAGAGGATTTTATAAGCTTAAATGTAATAGGAAAAAATGGATAAAACTTAGTTGCTGTTATGTGCTGTTGAGTAACCTGCAACTCATGGAGACCCTATGTATAATAGCTCTGAACCCTGTCTTATCCTAAGCCAATCTCACTGCCTGCAACACACCTGTCCCTATTACCCCAGTCACTGTGTCAATCCATCTCAATATGCTTCATTAAAAAATGCCTATTACCAATTAAAATGAAAATAAGGAATTTTTAAAATCTTACAGTTGACTGATAAACATAAAACAAAGAAAAACTCTAAGACCCAAATAAATAAGTTGGCAAAGGATATGATTTATAAAACAAAATATTAACATTAAAATAAGTTTAATTTCACTAGAAAATTAAATTAAAATGAAAGCAGTTATGTATACTTTTCACTTTTAAAAAGTTTTTAAAAAGATCTAAGTTCCATGTTTACCCAGGAATACTACTGGTAGGAATAAACTGCACACACATGATCACAGCAGAAATAGGGCAATTATTACAGAAAATAATTTAGAAATATATTTTTAAAAGACATTAATTATTCACTCATTAACTCGGTTTTTTTTAATCAAGAAAACTTCTTAAAGAAACTATAAACAGTGGGCAACTTATATACAAAGATGTAATGTGCATAATAGTGAAAATCTGAAATGCAGATATAAAAAAATATCCTAATAAATCTCTAAAATTCCCTACTTTCCTGGAATATTAAATACAGGCTGAAACAGATATTACCTATAATTACTACTGGCTGAGAGTTTTTTCTGTTATATTTCCAAAAGGACCATCACGTAAAATTACAATATTATCATCATATTTTACAACCAAGGAAAATGAACAATTTTCCTGAGGTTATAATTAGTGAAGGAGAGAGCTTGAGCTTGAGTCTAAGTTTTTCAATTTGTGCATCTACCTTAAACTCTTAACCACTGTCATGTATAAATGTAAGAATACAAAGAACAGCACACAGATTTCTAGACACTGGTTAGATTACAAGTATGTGAGAAGGAAAAGGAAAAAGAAAACCCCGAACACAACAAAACCTCAAACTTTCCCAAATCTAGGCAAAATTAAGAACAAAACATAACCCAAAAAAAAAGCTAAAAGTAAGTATGTATATACCAAAGTTATTATCCTTAAATTGATTCTGGCTCATAGCAACTTTCCATTTGACTATCCAAGGCTTGTAATTATTAAAGAGAAGAGGACATGCCCAGCTTTCTTTTTCTGGTAAGTTGGTAGGTTTAAATTTGTGAATTGTTGGTGAATAGTTCAACATGAAATATCATTCTGTCCTTCAGTTTTTCAAATTTTTATAATATGTATATTTATTTGGTTAAAAAATAAGGGTTATATGGGAAAAATCTCTTCCTTTCTCCCAATAGTGTCAATTTTTTTAAGCCAAGTTTTTGATCTATGGAAAATGTTTTCAACTGTATTAAGTCCCTACAATGCCAATTTCCCCCCTTTTAAAATTTGTTATAAATACACCCTAGAGTTCCAAGGTAAAAACTCATTATAAATGAACAAAAAAGGAAAACAGTGGAAAGGATTTATTTTTTAAAAATTTTTCATTTCTCTTGTACTCGCTGCTTATACTTTACATTTGTTAGACAGTAAGTTTCTGTCACTGCCAAGAGAAATTACATTTTAAACAATGGGATGAAACATAATGGCTTTTTACCTGAAAATGTTATTTAAAATAACTATAATTACACACGGTCTTCAATTGCTCCTTGAGAGTAAACCTTTAGAACCTGAGAGGACCTAAAATCATTATTACATTTAAATGGTTCTTAAAATGAATATGAACCAGGTAAATGTCTTCTTTATCACTATTACAATTTTCACTTTGATTAGCAGAACATCCTGTTGCCACGACACTTTTCTGAAATATTTTGAGCTCCCTCTAGCTCTGAGATGGAAGTGTTCTTTTCTAGATACGGAAATTAAGTCTGTAAGTATTTTGATTTCTAGGTCCCAGAAATCTGAAACAAAAGCAGGATGCAAGCCCTCCTACTGCAGTATGATGCTTATAAACCTGGTGTCCTAAGAATAAATTGGATTATATTAGATTTATTTCAGCTCCTGGTAACCTGAAAAACGTAAGACCAGCTCCAGGCAATTTTGAGGATACAGTAGTGAAGCTGGTTAGAGACTTCTCCTCTCCCACTGTGTTAACTCTTCATCTTTTATCTCTGATTCTATTTCTTCCCCTACCAATACCTGCTTTTTACTATAAAATTTGTAGGAATGAAATAGCAGGGTAGCATGAAATATATCACTGGATATGACATTATGAATAAAATGAGACAAGGGCATAGAACAAAAACCTACAGTTATGAGCATGTGTGCATTATTAGTGCCCTGTCATTAAGAAATAACTGGCCTAACGCTGATGTACTTGAGCAAGGAGCTGAGTTGCATAAATCTTACTAAGTGGGAGTGCTGGTGATGTGGTGGCAGACAGCAGAGGAGGCTGATGTAGTCAGGAGCTGAGCAGAGAAGGAGGGACTCATGCTCACAGGTCTCAGGGCCAAGGAAAAGTACTCACAGTGTCTGGGTTCACAAGCAAAGGTCCTCACATGGCTTAAGTTTGCATCCTTTTCTACACTGCTAATTATTTGCAAAGATGCAAGAATCTCTTGAGTGGTCTTGTTCTCCTGTGTCCGTTTTCTCCTACCATTTACTCATGGGTTGGCTTGTTTCATAGCTTCTTCATTCTATCTCCCACTTCCTCCACCTTACGCCTATCTTTCCTGCTAAGTCGCTCCCCTGGTGTTTTTCCTCTCTGTACATCCTTCTCTCAGGCTCATCAAGCACAGGTTATCTGATCTGGCTGATGAGTTGTCATCAATATGGCATCCTGCTTGGCACAGCTCAGAGTTATGATGAGAACAGGACCAGTGAGGGTAACAAGCTACTATCATCTCCACTCTTGTAGGGATAACTGAACAACTTTCAAAGTTATAAAAGACCTTTGCTGCTGAAGAAGAAAAAGAAATGATGAAAAGACCTTTAATCTGTGTACAGTGTCACATTTTTAAGTACCTGAACTTACTGAAAAATCTATATAGTTTAATGTAGCTTCAGGTATAATATTCTCCACTGAGGGAAAAAAAAAAGAAACAAGCAGTTGTTTCTGACCCAAAGATACTATTAAGTGTTGGTAGTTTTATTTTAAATTTCATGGTATGCTCAGCTGGAGCAGTTGAGCTGGAACTCCAGTGCACGATGTAATCTGAATCACCAGGGAAGACCTGGTATATCCATCAACATAGGAGAAATGGCAGTCTCCATCACCTTCCCCTTGGCTTCAGAGGTCTGAAAAGAGGACTAAAGTATGAAAATAATGGAATAAAAATTAAATGAGTACAAAACTGATAAAAACCAAGGTTATCTAGCAAGTTTTACTAAGGAAGCCAAGGAATAAAAATTCCTTCATCCCTGAAATCTAAATACAGCCATATTCCTTCTGGCTCTCTCCTTTGTTCTTTTCCGGTTTTAGTTTATTTTTTAATTTCATTTTATACTGATTTATTTATGTTATAAAGTAAAAATAATAATCTACTCCAAGTCAATGTTTGCCTGGCTCATTTGGAATTAGGAGTATATTTCTGGTGTCTACTCCAAATCCCTCCGTGATACAGACCACATTATCCCTAAGGGAGTTTGTCCGGCATTTGACCTTAGCACACACACAGTTATTTCCACGTCCCGAGCCAAGACATGCAAAAACTGTATTGCATCATACAGCTTTTCTATCTGGCCTCTTGCTTATTTAATATGCTTGACAACTTAGATCTTAAATGTAGTTTAGAGATAGAAACTATATCCACACAAAGCTATCAACAACAAAAGAGATTTCTTTAGAACTGGTTTCTAATTACATACCACATTTGAGGAATATATAATTTTTCTAACTATGATTTTGTAAGTCTTTTTATAAGCTATCAAAATTTCAAATTGTCTAAGGGTAGAAACCTGTATCTGAAAACAAATTATTGAACATGTATTGAAACTGAAAGTGAAAATCATGCAAATATTTATTAAGTGTGTGTGTATATATATTTGTGTGTGTGTGTGTATATATACATACATACATACATACATACATACATACACACATACATACATACATACATATTAACTAAGCCTGTGGTAGAAGGAAATCCATTATTCAATGGCAAAGGTGCTCTTTCAGTGTTCTGAACAAAGTTTCACCACGCTAGTAGCACTTCCTCCACAAAAGATTTCTTTGCTCTTTTGGCAGTTCTTCGGATAGTTAATAATCTTCATCAACATAAAAATTCAAAGGCATCAATTCTGTTATCCTGACTGATTTTCCAACTTTCAGATGTATAGGAAACAACTGAAAGATTATGGCTTGTATCAGGCATACCTTAGCCATCAAACTTAGTTATATACTGCTCCTATAACAAATACCACAAATGGATGATGACTTTAACAAATAGAAATTTATTTTCTCACAGTTTGGAATACTAGAAGTTCAAATCCAGGGTGCTTGTTATAGGGCTCTCTGTGGTTTCAGGATGAAAGTTCTCTTTTCTGAGGGTCTGCACCTAGTTAGTCTTCATAAGGCCTGGAATCTCTTCCTTGCTATCTCTGCTTTCATGTAATTGGTTATTCTCTTTCGTATTTCAAAAGAGATATCCACATTAATACTGCCTCATTAATGTAAAAAAGACAATTCATTCTCAATTGAGATAGGGGAGCTCTGGTGGCCTAGTGGTAAGAAGCGGCACTGCAAACATGAAGGCACATGGTTTGAATCCACTGGCTGCTCCTCAAGAGAAGGATGGGCAATCTTCCATTTGATTAACTGTCTTTGAAAACCCACTGGAGGTTAAGCTAAGAGTCGGTTCTAACTCAACACACAACAACAGCAGGCACAGAAGTGAGAATTTGCAAAAGATATTTTCAGGAGGTGTAATGGTACCCAGCTGGAGACAATGGTACCCTGTAGGGAACATAATAGTCACATTTATTTTTAGAATGATTGCTAGACACTATTAGTATGAACCATCTTCAATCAAATATTTTTTTTAAAAAACTTGGAAAATTATTCAATACCAGAGAAAATGTTTTGAATCATGACCTGCAGTTTCTAATCTCCAACTTCACTACAACTGTCATTTTGGGCTGGATAATTCTTTTTTTGGTGGATGATTTTATCCTGTGCATTATAAGATTATTAGCAGTATCTCTGACTTCTACCCACTAGAAAGCACTAGCAGCTCTCACCTGTCCCTGCCAAAATGTGGCAATCAACAATGCCTACAGGCATTGCAAAAATGTTCCCTACAGGATACCATTGCCTCCAGCTGGGTACCATTGACTTACATCCTTCCTTTAATACATGCTGATCTCTACTTAAGCAGCATCTACTCTTCCCTTCACCCTATCCTGGAATTTCTCCATTTGGCTAACCCTCATAAACTTGAAACTTCAGCTCAAGTGTCATCTTTTCCATGAAGTCCTCTTATTTCCTTCCAAGAGGCAGAATAATTGACCTTTTTCCTGGGTACCCTGAGTCCTAAGCACTTTACAGAAATGTTTGATGTTGTTTGACTACCTTCCCTATTAAGAGTGCCAGCTCTGGGGATGTAGTGACTTGGTCTCTTGCTACTCTATCTTCCCCACCTAACTCAATGCATCTAACACAGCAAGTGTTTAAAAAGGGATTACAGAATTATCAGATGGTGAGGATATTCTATAATAATCATGATAGCTAAAAAAGAAACAAAACAACAAAGTCACATAAGAAGGTGTTAGAATCATTTTATAGCCTCATGCTTTACCAGAGGTTAGAGCCAGCTTTCATATAGGGAAAAAGAGAATATAAAATAGGTAGAAAATTAAGGGTCATGATGCTAACTCACAGCTTGTAAATACCGGAAAGACAAGATGGGGCCACTTAGTGCTTCGCAGGCACTATGGTCTTCAAAGTGACCTTCTTCAAGCAGGAATTGCTGGCCTTTAAAGTGTTCTTTTTCATAAGCAACCCACCTACAAACAGAGAGGGCATTCAATTTAACCATTAATAAAATGGTAGTCAAGAAAACAAAAAAGAGAATAAGGATAAAGCACCTAGTTGACCATCACCATAGTTTAAAAAGCAATGCATCTGCTTTGTTTTCATTTACAAAGACAGACAGATAGGGTATGCTTCACAGATCGATTGTTTTAATAGTTGGAACCTTTTCCCAGTGAGAGGTTATTTGCTGAATTGCAACAGAGCAAAGCTCGTTAACTATTTGTGGAATAATGTGCTATCACATCTCAAGGTAGACAGGGCAGAGTTTTTGCCAAGTAAGGATAATGAAAAGCTCAAAGAGCCAAGGAGAAAAGTTACACATTCATACTGAGATCTACAGATAACCAATATTATATTATGGATTAAGTCCTGCTAGAACCACAGAAAGGTTATTATATTAGATGTATTTACTCATGGTTTAAATCAAAGGACCTTCTTCCTTCAAGCTCAAAATTTAAAATACATCACATTATGAAAAAGTTTACAAAGAGAAGCTACAAAGATGTATAGGTGACATTAATTCTAGTGCCCAGAATTAATGCATGTAAAAACCAACTCCACTGCCAATTAGTCAATTTCAACTTACTATGTGGATCATAACAAACTGTGGCTGACTCTGAGAAGAATGAGAATCCCAGAACATTTAATCGTGCTAATGTGAAAATTATACTTGGACCAAGAGGCAGTCGTCAGAACAGAGCAAGGTAACACCTCATGGTTCAAAACAGGGAAGGGTGTACGCCAGGGATTTGTCCTATCTCCATACTTTTTCAATATGTATGCAGAGCAGATTATCCAAGAGGCCAGGCTCTATGAGGAGAAGTGTGGTGTCAGAAGTGGTGGAAGATCTATTAACAATCTGCGTTATGCAGATGACACAACCCTCCTTGCCGAAACTGAGGAGGACCTCATGCACTTGCTGCAGAGGGTCAAGGACTGCAGCCTTCAGTATGGACTGAGGCTCAATGTCAAGAAGACAAAGATTCTCACCACTGGACCAATTAGTAGCATCAGGATGGACGGTGAAGAAATTGAGATGGTTCACAGCTTCAGTTTGCTTGGCTCCACAGTCAACACTCTTGGCACCAGCAGCCAGGAAATCAAAAGACACTGCGATGGGAAAGTCTGCGGGTAGGGACCTCTCTAAAGTACTCAAGAGCAATGGTGTCTCTCTGGAGACTAAGGTGCACCTGATATAGGCCATGGTCTTTGCAATCACTTGTTATGCATCAGAGAGTTGGACAATGACTAGGGAAGACAGAAGGAGAATTAATGCCTTTGAGCTGTGGTGCTGGAGAAAAGTAGTGAATGTACCATGGACTGCCAAGAAAACAGATTCATCCTGGAGAGGGTTAAACCAGGCTACTTCTTGGAGGCAAGGATTCTGGGGCTTCATCTGACATACTTTGGACATGTTATAAGGAGAGACAGGTCCTTGGAGAGGGATGTCATACTTGGTAAGGTGGAGGGACAGCGCAGGAGGGGAAGGCCCTCTATGAGGTGGATTGATTCAGTGACTGGGGTAATCGGGATGGGTGTGTCAGAGGCCATGCAATTGGCACAAGACAGAACAGGGTTTAGGGCTGTTGTACATAGGGTCGCTATGAGTTGCAAACAACTCAACGGCACATAACAACAACAACAACAACATGACAGAGTAGAACTGCCCCATAGGTTTCCAAGGCTGTAAATCTTTACGAACTTACACTGCTATATCTTTCTCCTATGGAGTAGATGGTGAGTTCAAACAGTCAAACTTTCACTTAGTGGTCTGCAATTTAACTTACTATACCAACTTGGACTTCCTTCTGGAGAGGTAAGCTGACCCATAGGCAAATTCAAACTGAAGTTGAGGAAACTTGAAACAAATCCACAAGAAGCAAAATATGACCTGGAATCTATCCCACCTAAATTTAAAAATCATCACTCAGAAGACCAGGTGAATCAGGAGATGACATTAAGGTTACAATCCATGAACAGAGTAAAGTCATTACAAACATAGGTGAAAAAGAAAATCAAAATAGGTTATCAGAAGATAATCTGAAAATTGCAATAAAGCACTGTGAAGTGTAATCAATGCAAAGATATGCCAAAGTAAAAGAACTGAATAGAAGATTTCAAAGGGCAGCTCAAGAAGACAAATGGAAAGTGTTATAACAAAATGTACAAAAAATTGGAGTTGGAAAATAAAAAGTGAAGAACTTGCTTGGCATTTCTAACGCTTTAAGATGAAACAATTAAATCAAAGTCTCAAGTTACTGAGAGATGTTACAGGCAAAATTTTGAATGATCCAGGAAGTATCAAAAGAAGAAAGAAAGGATTATACAGACTCACTATAACAAAAAAGAATTGCTCAACATTGAAATATTTCAGCAAGTAGCTTATAATAAATAGTCAATGGTAAGGAAGAAGGAAGTTCAAACAGCACTGAAGGCACTAGCAAAAAAATAAGGCCAAGTAATTGACAGAATGCCAAGTGACATGTTAAAACTAACAGATGCATCTTGCTTGCTGTCTATGCCAGGAAATTTGGACAGCTACCTGGGCTAAACAACTAGAAGAGATCCATATTTGTTCCCAATCCCAAGAAAGGTGATCTAACAGAATAGATAGGTGGATATTACAAAATAGGATCATTAATATCACATGCAGCAAAATATTGAAGACCAACAAAAATGGCTAGAACAGTACATTAACAGAGAACTGTCAGAAGTTCAAGCTGAGTTTAAAAGAGGCCATGGCACCATGGATATCACTGCTGCTATCAGATGCATTTTGGCTGAAAGACGAGACTACCAGATTATCTGTCTGTATTTTACCGAATATGCTTAGGCATTTGAAGGCAGATTATAACAAACTATTGTTAACATTGAGAAGAATGGAAAGCCAAGATGGCGGTAGAGGCGGAGACAGCAGGGTGAGCTGCGGGAGCAGCCGACCACTTGGAGGAGGGCCACCATGGCCTTCTACAGACCTCTATTGACAATTGAACAGTTAAACAGCTGATGACTGGTCTTCGGTGCGGATTGAGGCCCAACAGCAGATCAAGGATTCCCAGGAAGGAATGGGTTTGCTCCCTTTCCTACAGGTAACCTTAACACTGAGTTTTACTTCAGACCTGACTCTGAACCCAGTTCCAGAGACAAAAAGGAAATACAACTGCCAGCTAAGGAAGTAAAGAAGGATGGAGCCTCAGGGTTCAGTCAGTCATCCCCACTGGACCAACCTGTAAAACACTTTGCAGTCAAGAGGGGAGTAAATGTCAGGAAAATATCTTCTAACACAACAAGAAGGCAAGCAGCTTTAACTCCAAACCACCAGCAAGGTGATAAAGTGTGCCTCCTTTCCCCCTTCACATCAATGCCCCTGTTCAGCATGAATAAGCCAGAGTCTGTGCCCAATTCCTAAATGGGAAACCCACAAGTGAATAAGACAGTTTGTTTAATCACCATTGGACTATGCTTACCATTGCCCTGAATCATATGGTCCCCCTGGATCCTTTTCATTTCCTTCACCTGCTCCACCCACCAACCAAATTGTGGAGCTCTGCAACTACATCCCTGCAATTTTAATCTGTGCCTATCCTCACCCTCTGCTCCCAACCCTCACCTCCTATCCCCAATATGTTTTTCCCAATAAAATGTAAAGAAAAAAAAAGAATGGGAAGCCCACAACCTTTAACTATGCTCATATGAAACCCACACTTAGAACAATAAGCTGTCTTCTGAACAAAGCAGGGAAACACTGCACGGTTTAAAATCAAGAAAAGTGTGTACCAGGATTGTATCCTTTTTTTTCATACCTATTCAATCTGTATGCTGAGAAAATCATTCAAGAAGGTGGATTCTATGAAAAGGAATGTGGCATCAGGATTGTAGGAAAACTAATCAATAACCTGCATTACATAGATGACACAACCTTGCTTTCTGAGGCAGGTACTTGAACTACTTGCTGGAGAAGATCAAGACTACAGCCTTCAATATGGATTGTGTCTCAATGTCAAGATGGTTAAAAATACTCACTACTGGGCCAATATGCAATTATCATGATAGAAGAAGAAAACGGACATTTTCAACTATTTCACCTTTACTTGTATCCACAATTGATGACAGGAAACATATTCTATGGGAAAATCTGCTGACAAGGACGTCTCTAAAGGACTGAGGAACAATGAGGTTAGTTTAAAGACTAAGCTGCACCTGACTCTGGTCATGATCTTTTCAATCCCTTGCTATGTATGCGAGAGTTAGACAATGGTTAAATAAAAGAAGAAGAATTGATGCCTTTATGTTGTGATACTGGAGTACTGAATATCCCATGGACTGCCCAAAGAACAAAGAGATGTGTTTTTAAGAAAGTGCAGCCAGCATGCTCCTTAGAGGTAAGGATGGTGAAACTTAGTCTCATATATTATATGCACGTTGCTAGGAGTGACATGGAGAGGATACCATGCTTGTAAAGGTAAAGGGTCAGAGAAAGACAGGAAGATTCTCAACAAGATGAAGTGACACAGTGACTGCAGCAATGGGTTCAAGTATGTCAGAGATAAGGAAGACATAGGATACTACAGGGTTCAAATCTGTTGTTCATAGGGTCACTCTGAGCCATATTTGATTCAATGGCAACTAAGAGAAACAACCACCATCATTAGGAGTTGGACAGGCAAATAAAGGCAGACATAAATATTTTCTGGGGTGAAATGCTGGTCTTGGCATTTTGTCAGTGGTGTTAATGAAGACAGGAAGCACAGAAAAAATTATTTCTAAAAACTGTTATTTTCTTTTTTACTTCTCACTGATAAATATTCTTAGTGACTGAACTTTTTTTATGGAGCAGCCCCCAGTTATCTAGCAAAGTGGACATCAGTGGTTAGCAGTACACATATTAACCTGCTTGCATCTGCTTGTCTACCTTCCTTTCCTCTGTGTATCTGAGATGGGAACTCCTCCAACTGGGCCAATTCCAGGGGTG